CGACATGGAACCTAAGCAGCTGAGAAACTTTGACTTTGACTTTGACATGGTCATGGATTCTTGGAATGATTTGCGCAGCCCTGAAACCGTAGAGGTGGACGAGCTTGATGAAATGTTTGGGGACATCTGAAAAGACCACGCCCTCTCAAATCATGCGCCTCTCATTGTTCTGTTGCCATCTATTTACCTATCATCTTTTAATCTCGTCCGGCCAACCCGGACACTTTTTTTTTTCCTTTTTCTTTTCGTATCTCCTCTCCCGGACTTTTGATACCTTGTCTTTGGACATGCAATTTTGTAATGTTATGTTTTGCCTTACTTTTTTTGTGGTTCATTTCGTCACCGTCTCTACTTCTCTTGTACATGTCATTACTACCTACTCTTTTCAACCCTCTGTGCACCTACTCTACCACTCATGTATTTCTATGGGATAGATGTTTGCATTTATCTCTCTTCCCGTTGATATGGGAAGGATACATACATACTGTACATAATAATAACAACCTGATGCCGAAGCATTCTTTTTTGCAATTTTTTCCCTTTTTTTTCCCTATTTCTTTTTACTTTCTGGGGTTCATAAATTGCCTGGCGACTTGAGTAGGGTTATGGAAGAGAGAATCTGATAGAGCGACACGATTGAAGAGAATGAGACAGACGAGACGAGACGAGATTGAGTTGTGATGGGATTTTTGTGGTTTTGTTTACATGTATTGACGTTTATTGAGCAAGCAAGCAAAGAAAAAAAAGTTGGTCGTGTTTATTACAAAACTTGATTTATCCTTACGAGATGAGACACATTCAACAAACAGACAATCGAACTGTTGACTTGGATTATTATTATTTTTTTTTTCAAATTTAGTACGTACGTACTACGTAGTTTGATTAGTAGATGTAGGTATGTTATATGTCAAATCAAACCTCGCCCTCCTCGCTCCCACCGCCGTCATCGTCGTCGTCGCCGCGGCCGCCGTGATGCGGCGCAGAACCAGACTCTGGATTCGTGCTGGTGGTGACTTCTCCCTCTTCGCGATCCGAGTTGATTTCTCCTTCTTCTGCGTCATCATCGGCAGCCGCTCCTTTTCGTTGCTCTTTGTTGTTGCTGTCTCTTGTGGACTTTTGGGACTGGTGGTGGTGTTTGTCCGACCCAGCCGACGTATTTGTTGCGACTGAATGCCGGCGCGTGTCTCTGTCGCGAGAGTCCCGGCCTCGGTCTCGGTCTCGGTCTCTGTATCTGTCACGGTCTCTATCCCAATCTCGATCGCGGTCACGGTCCGAGTTGTAGTAGTAGTTGTTGTTGTTATTATTCGTATAATCCCTATGGCCATTCGCATTCTTCAAACCCTGGTGTACAATCTGGTCGATCCGCTGCTGCACGGGGTCGATCGAGGTACCATTGCGGCTATCGCCACCAGACGCCGATACAGGTGGCGGTCGTGGTAGAGGATGTTGGCGGCGATACTGCTCATCCCTGGCCGCAGCAGGGATTCTCGAGCTGGGCCGGTGTCCATTAGGAGACGACAGCTCGGGCGTTCGACGTTGCCGTTTCGGCGACGGTTCGCGACTGTTGGTATTGTTTTTGTGGTCGACTCGGAGTTGTGACGAAGACTCCTCGGTTCTGCTTGTTGAAAAGCCGGTGTTGCTGTCGTCTTCGGGCTCTCTCGACCTTTTGCGGCCATTTGGAGTAACAGCAGGCCCGTCGGTGGTGGTGGCGGTGATGATGGGATGCGGGTTCACAATCCGCGTTGTCTCTGCTGCCCCGTCGCTGTCGGCCGAGTTTGTCGGATATTGATGCGCTTGTTTATGGACCGTGTTGTTTTCGTATAGCTGGGTCATGCGACTGACGGCTCTCCGCACGTCGGCCAGATTCACGTCAATCTGCTCCCACCAGGGCCGGCCTTCCTCGTCGTCTTCGAATGCGACATCGCAGAGTCTAGCGCCCGCCCACAGTGCAGCAGCGGCAATAGTGCGTGGGTAAAACTGCAGGCAGAGAACGGTGAAATTGGAGTCGTTCAAAAACGCCCACGCGGCGTTTCGCAGATGCTTGTGGTCGGCTTTGCCAAAGTAGATGAGGAAATCGTAGCAGACCTTGTGCGGCTGCTCCAGCTGCAGGTCAAAGCATAATGCCTCCAGACACAAATCCTCGTAGGCCAGAAGCGTGTCCTTCCACTTCCAAAACTCCTTGCTCTGCTCGTCCACCACCAGATCCGGGTTCTTCTGTGCGACGCGGCAGCACGCAATCACCACCTCCCTAATCTTCCGACAGTTTTCGTCCACTTTACTAGCCAAAAACAAACAGCCCGCCGCGACCGAATACGGATGCATACCGGGCCGTCGAGGCGGTTGGTCGACCATGCTATACCGCACAAAGAACCGATGCATAAACACCGCCGCCGTTGTGAGCGTCAGCTGTGGTAGTTTCAGCATGATACCCACCTGCATGATGAAATTCACGCCTTTGCTTCGCTGCACATGCTCTGTTTCCATGCTCATTCCGTCCAGTAGCGACGGCGTCCGTAGTAGTTCTTCGTCGGTGAAGTACCATTGTTTCTGCGCGTTGAGAATGACGCGATTCGACGGTGCTGGCACTGGTCGTCTCGGTCGGTGCTGTGATGAGGAGTCGTTCATTTTGAGAGGATAGTCGCGAGGATGTGGTGGTTGTCTCTCAAAGGACGGTAACGGGGAGTTCCCGGTCAGGTGTACTGGATGGTGACCACGGCAGTCGCTTTCGATTTATGCAAAGAAGGAAATAAAACTTCAAGCATGGCGCAATGCCCGGAGATTCATATTGCAGAGCTGCGACGTGGTGTGTGGGTGTTTTGAGGTTTGAGAGGCGCGTTGACCAGGAAGCCGAAGAGTTCTTGAAGGACGACATAAGACGACGGAGCCGGGTCCAGCCCAATCAGTGGGGCCGCTCCATCACCGCCTTCACTGCTCGCAGCGCCATGCCATGCTTTTGTTCGGTGATTTCAAGGTTATTTATATCTGTATAGCAACACATGTATCTATTTTTCCAATATCTCACAAGATTTCATAAGATTTCACAAGATTTTATCAAAATATCCAAAAAATAGTGGTATCAATCCCAACCAAAACACCAAAGGAAAAAATTGTCAACTATACGAAAATCTATTCCATATAATCTTTCGCCAGCACTATGTGCATTTTGCCATACCGCAAGGCCTTGCAAACTCCGACGAGGGAGCTACTCTTCTTCGCTGACCTCGCTCTCGTCTTCGCTCAACATGTACTGCTGAGTCTGTTGTATATTTTGGGTGCGAGACGCTTCTTCTTCAAAGGCAGCCTCCATTTCTGCTGCTAGTGCATCTTCATCATCTTCATCATCTCCATAATCGTCCCTTTGTGTATCGGGTGCGGGCGCAGACGGTACCTCTGCGTGGCCCTGTCGAGCAGGAGATGGAAGACGCAGATCCTCAAATTCATCCTCATCCTCGCCGTCATCAGCTTCATTAGCAGAGCTGTTGTTTGATGAGAAATGAGCTGGATTGACTTTAAAGGTCGGCCGCAACGGTGGAGACCCCATGTCAATAATGAGGTTTCCGTCGACGATGACGTTCGAGCTCGGAGAAGCTGTTGCTTTATTCGACTCCATCCGCGGCTCAGCTCGACCATCATCGTCGGCCCCGTCGTCGGATGGAGGAGCCGATTCAGAAGATAGATCTTCTGACTCCACACGTTCAGCCGACTTGGGCTGCTTCTTCGTAGCTGTAGTCGTAGGTGCCGTGCTTGTCGGCGTAGATTTCGGGGCCTGTTTAGGCCGTTGCAGCGAACTAGCATTTTGATGCCTGGGTTTTGGTAATGGCTTCAGGTTCGTCTTGTCGGTTTTTGTAAGCTTCGTTAAAGGCGTGTCCGCCCTACTGCTGCTACCTGCGCCATGGGGGTCTGGCGTTGTCGTAGTCGAAGCCGTCGCCTTAGCAGCATCATTTTCCGCATCAGTTTTGGGTAGGAAATGTCTAAAGTCGAATGGGTTGTCCTGGTCCGCATTTCCCGGGTTTTCATCATCCGACTCGTCCCTCGAAGCGTGGTCAAGACCGTCATCGAGCGTATGTAGTTGTTCATACTGCTCGATTACCTCCCTAGTCTTTCCGGGGGCGGATCGCAAGTTGAAGTTTAAGCTTGTGCCAACCGACTCCAGTATAAACGCCTTGCGATTTGGATCAAAGACAAGCACCAGGTTCCTCGTGTCCGAGCCCTGAACCGGCAGGGATGGGTCCACGCTACCTTTGTATTTGTATTCCAAGGCTTTCTGCTCGGCATTGCCGGCCTTGTCCGTGATGGTGAGATGATAGAGATCCTGCGAAACATTGGACCGCGTGACTTTCGTCCGCTGGTTGGCCGTCGCTGACTTGCTTTTGTGGTTATATGTGATATTGACAAAGCTCGATAAATCGACATCCTTGCCGGCCAGTTTATCGCCGAGCAGAATCGGGTATTCCCCGGGCTTCGTAGGGTCGATCGTCGGCGCGGCCGATGCCGTGTTTAGAGACATGTTCACGGAGGAGATATCTATAATGAGCAAGATGATTTATATCAACTGGGACGTCCCTTTCCCCAGACTCCCAAGGATATCGTCTGCCTACCGCAAGTGCATGTATGTGCAAGTGATGGTGTGTATGGTGTACTGGAGACACCAAGGCACCGACAAGGAAAAAAAGAAGAATGAAAAGAATATCAACAGCGATAACAAAGAAGTTCTCCTCACACAGAGGGCCACGCCGCCATCAGACAAAGCGGCCGTGACAAAAAGGTTGACGAGCGCTTCTCCGTCAGCCGAAGGGAGGGGAAAGCCCGAGTGGGTCTAGATCCCCGATGACAGCCTGACTCAGCTTACAGTGAAGATCGCCGTGCTTTATTGGGACAAGGGAAACACTTGAAAGAACGAGATGTTGTTTGATGATTTATAAGAAAAAGAATAATGATTTTCCAGGGGGAAAAAAAAAAGAAGGAAAAAAAAATTACTACTCGCGAAAACAGCAAAAACCCGACCACGGTGCGACTCGAACGCACAACTTTCAGTGCCGAAAACTGACGCGCTACCATTGCGCCACGAGGCCCTGGCTGATGATGCCCCCAAAATGTGACAGTGTGTTTGTGTGTTTGATATCCTAGTCCAGGTTGAGATAGCATCTCAACATATAGTATATCTACTTAGAAAGTAATGGTTTAATTACACTCAAGTTGGCGGCAGCTAATCGGCTCGTTACTCATCATATTTCGTGACATATCGTACATGCTAAGCAAGACAATCTAAAATCTAACATCGATACCACTCTCACTCTCACTACTACGCAGGAGACACAAGAGTGCTGCTCTTTGCCGCATTCGCACCCAAAGGTCCCTGCGTCAGCTGTTCGAGCTTTCCTGCCAAATCGCGATGTTTGCGCATGACTTGCTCCCACTCGCGAACAACATCAACTTTGCCGTCTTCCGATTCTTCGTCTTCCTCGTCTGCCTCGAGCTCCGTCAGAATCATGCTAAAATCACCACCTAGGCGCCCAAGACTAGCAGCGCAGTAGAGTACTTGAGTCAACAAGCTTTCTCGGGAGCTTTTGTCTCGCACATTGGGCAGATAGCTGCGGAGGGTGTCTGTGAGTAGCTGGACTAGATGTATCGGAAAGGTTGCAAGGGCCGGGGGAAGAGTTTGGAGCGGGTCACTCTTTTTGACATGTTTTGGCGGTGGCTTCGTCTTCAGCCCTGAAATGCTGGCTGCCATCAATTCGTTGTCAGATGTCTCTGTCGTGAATATATTCTTGTATAATGAGACAATCGCAAAGCTCTGTTCGCGGTATATCTCAATATACCGTTTAAGAAACCGCTCCGTTTGCTGGCCTCCAGACCACGCACTCGACTTGGATGACTTTTGTTCCGCTGCGGCCCCTTCTGTTCTTCGCTTGGTTTCCTGATCTGCCAATTCTTTCAAGGGCTCGAGAGCTTCCAGCGTAGAAACCAGACTTGCCAATCTGCAAACAAGGAACAGAGCACCAAACGCTCCTTCATCAGGTCCGGACGAGCCTCTCTTTCCTCGCGGACTTTCCAGCTCAGGAGCTACTCGCCTAAGCCAGCCAACAGTCCTCATGGCGGCTGCTAGTCTGATATTTTGTGTCCTTAGGCCGGCAATAAGATTTGTGGTCATGTCTTTCATGGCGTCTTCGGCTTGTAGAACAATGTCCTTGATTAATGGGGAGTCCGGATAGAGGGATTGAAGTCGTTTGATATGTGAATATAGATCTAATGCAGTCGAATACTTGCTCGTTGACAAACTACTTCCTGCTGCCGGACCCGAATTCGCTGCCGACGAGGGCGAAGACGACGACACGGCAGTTGACAGCAGAGCGGGAAGTTCCAGTATGTCCGATATCCGGTCAACGTTTCTCGACAACTGCATTGCCTTTTTTCGACGGTCCAGAAGCTGATTTTCGCCTGTCTTGGCGTATCTGGTCGAGAAGCGCACAGCTTCTTCGTCCAGCTTGGGTATCCCATTCTGCAGCACCTTGGCCTCTCGTGCCAAGGACGGGATCAGGGTTTGGAGATTGGAAAGGTGGTCGGCCGATGTGATGAACGCCTTGTGCGAGCGGTTGGAAAGAGCTTGGAGAGACAGCAGGGTTGAGTGTGCAGAGTGGGAGATCGATTGGGGTTCGGTCGTCTTGAGGCTCTCGAGCGACAGGGTTGTCAGGCGGTTCATGTACTTGACAGCGGTAGTATCCGTGGAAAGCGACGCCGGGCCATTGCTGTTGTCGACATGGGGGGCGAGCACCTCCAGAATCGAGTCGGCCATGGCGAGATCGGTGTGTGTGTGCGAATATGCACCGACGCAAATGAGATGTTCACTGGCAGAATCCGGGGTTGGTTTTCGGCCGTTTGACAGTTTTGGGGGTTGGACAGTTGGCGATACGGCCTAGGTACGTGTACGGCGTCCGCCGCGGCCATTTGCGCAGCCCCGCCGCTTCCTCCTGTGTCGCCATCGCGGTCGTCCTGAGACATTAGGCATAAAACCTCCACTATCACATCTTAGAATATAGAGTTAATATACGATCCTGTCATTATACATTGTTGAAATATATCGTCGTTTACTTTCTCCATATGACATTGCTCCCCAGAATCACCCGACAACCACTTAATTCACCGATCGCCTTCCATATCGATCAAGCACATGGGAAAAGAAGACTAGGAAAATGGGCAAGCCACGGGTAAAGCAGCTTCCTTTGGCCTCTTTTGTCAAGCCCGGCTAACCGAGTGCTTTCGTAGATGATCATCTTGATCCGTCATGCGCAATCCGAAGGAAACAAGAACCGCGAGATTCACCAGTCGGTTCCAGACCACCGGGTGAAACTGACGCCAGAAGGCCACAAGCAAGCACTGGAAGCCGGTCGTCGACTGCGCGATCTTCTCCGCCCAGACGATACACTGCACTTCTTCACCTCGCCGTATCGGAGAACGCGCGAGACAACCGAGAAGATCCTCGAGTCGCTCACATCCGACGAGCCCTCGCCGTCTCCATTCCCGCGCCACACCATCAAAGTCTACGAAGAGCCGCGACTGAGGGAGCAGGACTTTGGCAATTTCCAGCCATGCTCGGCCGAGATGTCGCGCATGTGGCAGGAGAGGGCCGACTATGGCCACTTCTTCTACCGGATTCCGAACGGTGAGTCGGCCGCAGATGCGTACGACAGAGTAAGCGGCTTCAATGAATCGCTATGGCGGTTGTTTGGCGAGGACTCGTTTGCCAGCGTGTGTGTGCTGGTCACCCATGGACTGATGACCCGGGTCTTCCTGATGAAGTGGTATCACTTTAGTGTGGAGTACTTTGAAGATTTACGAAACGTCAATCACTGCGAGTTTGTGATCATGGAAAAAAACCCCGATAATGGAAAATTTGTTCTTCAAAACAACCTTCGAACATGGTCCGCTCTTCGGCAGGAGAAAGAAGAAGAGAGAAAACGAGAGCAAGAGGCCAAGGGTCTTCCACCAGCTCCATCAGAGACCGATGTTCCAATACGTCGAAAATGGGGCGGCTGTCCAGACGGCTGCACGCATGGTCATAGTATCAAGTCAACAACCTGGCGCCCTGCGCGGCAGGACAAGGCTGACCTGTTTCGCGACGACGACGGGGACGAAACCACTGATGGCAGAAACCGTAGCCCGTCAGTAGAGCGCAAGAGACCTCTGCTCAAGCATTCCACAACTGCCAACCACCAAAGCAGATCAAAGACCAACAATAATCACCGCCATCACAGCCATGATTTCTCGACAGACCCTTCTCTCGACGATGCCATTTCCTCGCCAGCCCAGACGCCATCGTACATCTCTCTCGCTCCTATCACTAAGTCTATACCCGAGGTGTCAGTCTCAACTGCAGACAACAGCAAGGACCAGCCGCAAGGACGGGTGAGCCGAAAGTCTAGTAAACGCGGCGGACGGTCTTCTATCTCGCCTTTGCGACTAAACAACAGCGGCAGCAACAACAACAATAATAATAACAACAACACCGACACAGAAGGAGACCAGAGGCTACCAAACATTCACCTCCTCCGCCTCGGCGGTCGAGACGGCGGAGGCTCGTTCAGCGGCGTCAACAGCCCCGTTCCCTCGGATTCAGAAGAAGTCGACAGTCCCCTACCAGACACAAGCAGATCGCTCCCGCCTATTACTACTACTAATCCATCTTCCTCTTCTTCTGCTTCTCACGCCCAACCGATCCAAGACGCCGAAGATGACGGCGACGACGAAGGAGCCGGGTCACGACGAACAGTCCGACGGCACAAGACCGGCCATCACCATCACCACAACAACAACACCGCCACCACTTCGAACAATGCGGCGGCAGCAGCAAACACGCACGACAGAACCCATGCACTACTACAACAGCCCAAGGCGAACACCCTGGGCGACGCCGACTCATTCTCGAGCGTTTACGACGAAGACGGCGGACTCCAGGCCGATAACGAGGAAGATGAAGACGACCATGGCGCAGGATCCACGTCGAATAGTGAAATCGACCGACTGCGGAGCCAGGAAGAGAGCGTTCGCGAGTCTGTATATTGATGACTAGTAATTACTAAAGGGATTTGCATTTAAATTTGAATTTGTTACGGGTTAGAGAGAACTTTTGGTCTTCAAGATGATACCAATCATTTGATATTATTTGTTCAAGGCCATTTTCAAATGTTTTTTTTATCAGCCATTATCAAGTGTTGTTTGTTGTATATAATGAAGAAATGCAACAGTAGCAATGTCCGCAGCAATAAAATAGACAATTTACAAAGGCCTTTCCTTGCAACTTCAACCGAAATGGTGATCGAATGAGAAAAGGAGGTCGGAAGAGAGATAAAAATTTCGATTGGTATCCGTGTTAAAAAAAAAAAAAAAGGTGAATCTTGGTATTGACGAGTCATGCGAATGACATTTCAAATTGGAAGTGAAAGCAAGCTGCACCTGATAGGAGCAGAAAAAGAGAAATGAAAAAAAGTTGTAGATGAAACAGTCGCTGGGTTGGCTGTTTTGTCGTTCGGACTGGGTTGCTGCATCCTTGCGTACGTCAGAATCCAGAGTATCTCCCAGTCGATGACAGTCAATGACAGTCCCCCAAGACTTGAATCAAGAATGAAGTTATAAACATAGAAACCTCCCCACTGACATGCCATAGTCTGATATGCACCAAAATCGAAAAAATGTCAAGCATGAACGCCACGATTCTGAGGTGAAAACAAATGCATCATACCAATCGAGTATCAAACACACAAATTTCAAATCTATGGGTAATATTCAGAATCCAAAAAAGAAAGAAAAAATGAAGGAAAAAGAGAAAAGGAAATAAATAAACCGGTGGCAAAAACCGCGTGTAAAAAAATCGTGAGTCGTAAACTTTTTTTTTGGTCAACGTTTTATGCTCTGGACGACCTCGAAATGGATATAAATACGAAGAGGAAAAGATGATGGCCTCACAAGACGCTCGGCTGCAAAAAATTTGGCGCGGAGTAACAACAAAGCCAAGTACTTTTGTGAGACACATTTGACTCGAAAATGTGAACGCGACAAGAATGGAAATGTAGGTCGT